CAATAGTAAAACCTAGATCTGAAAAAAATGGAAGGGTGAGCATCGCCGATTGAGAAGACGGTAGGGTAAGTGTCGGAGGAAAGTGAAGAGCTTCTCCAAGAGAGCTTCGCCAGAGAGAAGCAAAGTCGAAGCTTTGCAGATGGAGATCTCAGCTTCACCACAGTCGCAGACCCACAGACGAGAGAGAGAGAGTTTTATTTTATTTTTATATAGGTGCCAAAAAAATGTTTTATTTTATGCTTCTAATGAAAGTCGAAGTCTGGACCTCATTAAAGACTCCCTTCAACGTGACTAAATAAAACATGAACCAAAATTTTTTTTAACTTAAAAAAAATTAAAAAAACAAAATATTAAGTTACCAAACGCTACCTAAGAAAGTAGAAGTGAAAAAAATACTAACAAAAAATCAGGTGACGATGTCATATAAATAAAATGGAATCCTTATTAAATCAAAATGGGGTCATCCTTTGGTCTTTTCTTTTAATTAGTTTCATTTTGTATTAGTTTATCCTAATTTTAATATCAATTAAGGGTATTAAAGTAGGACACGATACGAAATTAAAGGGTTTGAATCTTACTTAAGTCACCCATTTCGTAAACGAGTGACCGATACGATGCAATTAATAAACGAATTAGATATGAGTGAAGCTAATTAAAAGAAATATACGACACGATTAATTTATATATAGATTATATATGATTTATACACAACACGAACTCAATATGATACAATTAATAAATAAATCAAGAATATGTGAAATTTTTTTTGACATTGACCGATCCGATACGAACGCACCTCTTCCAATACAATTCAGAGGCTTAACGTCAATGGTAAAATGTTAATAAAAATAAAAATGTCAATAGTAAAAAATGTGCGAATGACGAGGGTTTTTTTCCGTCATTTTGGAACAACTAATGAGATGGTCGACAAGGAAGCCATCTGGATTTGCCGAGTGGGAACCGTTTAAGACCGAGTTTTGGAGAGAGAGAGAGAGAGAGAGAGTTGAACTGAATATCTTAATTAAGACCGCTTTGTCTGAACACTGAAATTTTGGTTTACAGAAAGTCGTCTTGTTGTTCAGAGATAGAGATGAAAGCTTGAAATAGCTCCGTCTTTTGCCTCTCTCTCTCCATGGTTAGCAGGCAATTATTTTATTGTTTGCAGTTTCAGTACGACTAATGGGTTTTGGAAGATCTTCTATTGAAGCTTCAGCAGCAACTTTCATGGCTGCCAATAAAGCAAACCACCACTCAAACACAATACTATCCAACTCCCATCAACAACTACTGCACCAGAGTCAGCAGGATCAAGATCATCGTCACCAAAACAATCAGATGTCATTTGGAATGATGCAATCACCTTTATCATTATCATCAACCATTCATGGAAACTTCATGTATTTTTAATCTTACAAAACAAACCAAACCCACAAAAACCCATGTCTTCATTTCCTTTCAAATATCCTCGAAAATAGTTTTGATAATCGTTCAATTATTTGGCCTATTTTTAAATTTTAGTTTCTGGGTTGTCTGGGTTATTCTGTGTGGTTGCAGAAGCAAAGACACTGGAGCTTATGATTTGGGTGAATTAGATCAAGATCTTTTCCTTTACCTTGATGGCCAGAGCCCCTCAACAGCCCAAGAGCAAAGACGTAGGTTCTCTCTCTCTCTCTCTCTCACACACACACACACACACACACAGATTCTTGTATTCTGTATCTAATTCTCTCTCTCTCTCTCTCTCTCACACACACACACACACACACACAAGTCCTGTTTTCTGTATCAAATATCTTGGATATTTTTTTCTAGCAAGAGGCACAAGGACTTTCTGTTTCTTTGCAATTTTATGTATTTCTGTTGAGATTCTGTTCGGGAACTGTTGTTTGGGTCAAGAGAAAAGTCTGTTCAAACGTATAAATCTGATTGTACTTTCTTTGACCACATATTTGCAGCAGGAAATTTTTTATTTTTCTGAGGAAAAATATTTTTGAGGCTCTTTCTGATTTCAATTGTTTCTTGTTATTTTGAGATTAGACCACGACATTTACAAACTTCTGATCATGCATTTCTTGCTAATATTGTACTGAAAAGGGTAAGAATCAGGGATAGGCCTCTAATTTCCCGGCTTTTCTCTTTCCTTTCTTCTTTTTCTGTTTGTTTTTCATAAGAGCTACAAATGCATGACAAATACACAGTCTCTTTCATGGTCATACCTCTCTCACCTCCTCTCCTCTCTCAGTCCGGTTCTTCTTTTGTAATTATTATGTCTGTGGAATAATATTATTCTCTCTCTTTGTCTCTCTCTCTCTCTCTCTCCTGAGCTTTGGACTTTTACCAAAATTTTAATGAGTGTGGCAACTTATGAGTGCAGAAAATTCTGGAATGAGGCCCTCAACATTGAATATTTTTCCTTCTCGGCCCATGCATGTAGAGCCATCTTCAACAAAGGTATATATTATATATCTAACCACTATGATACTTCATTTCTTGCTCTGTGGAAGTAATTTCTTAAATTTCTAAATAACTTTGAAGTGGGTTTGTTAATTTTTGTATTTGGTAGGCAATTGCTGGAGTAGTTCCTCCAGCTACCAGTGGTTCAAAGAGATCATCTGAGCCGTCCATGGAGGTTCCAAACACAAGCAATGATGTTACTGCTGGGCCTGAACGAGCCAAAACTGTCAAGGTAGGACTGAAGATATATCCAAATATATCTATACACAAAACAAAATAAACAAATTCGATTCATAGCTTCTTGTAAACTAAGATTCGTGTTTTACTTTCTATTTTTTTATAATATTTGAATGTTTCCTATAGCTTTCATTGTTGTGGCAGTGTGAAGGAAACCGCAAAAGTCCAACATCGAGTTCAGAGCAGGATCGACCCAAAACACCAGACCCTAAGGTCTCTTCTTTAATTAACTTTTTCCTCAAAGAAAGTTTTTTCCCCCCATTTTTTTATGAAAAATTATTGGGTGTATTGTTACATCACGTCAATAATGTCACGTGATATAATCATCTATTAATAGGTAAACAAGTCAGCAAATGAACTCTTTAAAACTCATAATCATCCAATTATGTAATCTATAATCACCTCTATAATATGAAATGATATCTATTTTATCTTTTTTTACTATTTTCTTATTAGATGGTTATATGGTATAATGGTTACCCCAATATTTACTCCATTTTTTTGTTCAATATTGGTTTGGTTTATTTTGAAGCAGATATTGAGGAGGCTTGCTCAGAATAGAGAGGCAGCTAGGAAAAGCAGACTTAGAAAAAAGGTCAGTGGAGAGAAAATAAGGGATTATTACTTTCTTGCAGTCCAAACAAGGGGCATCCATGAACATCATTCTCTGGATTTCAATGGTTTTATTTTTATTTTTTATTGCAGGCTTATGTTCAGCAGCTAGAGACAAGTAGGATAAAGCTTACTCAATTGGAACAAGACATACAGAGAGCTAGATCTCAAGTGAGAATGTTTTTGGGCAACTAATGCTAATGAGTGGATGGCTTTTATTGTCTCTATAATTTCATCATGGAAACCACGTTTTTAATAAATCTTGGGTTTTTCTATTAGGGTTTTTATTTGGGTGGAGGCGCGGTTTTGGGAGGAGAACAAGGACTTTCTGCTGCCATGGGCAACATTAGCTCTGGTATTTATCATTCCAAGCTCAACCTTTATCTTACTTATCTTTTTTTTTTTCCACAACTTGCTTATATATTACATGGTGGTAATGCTACACTCATGGAAACACCAAACTATACAACCAAATAATGTGACCTTTTGTGTCGTGATGTTGACTAAGTAATAGACTAAATAATATTTTTGATTAGATGCTTGATTTTTGAACCATGGCACGTAGTGGGTTTAGTATGCTCCGCCAAAACAGTTTCGAAACAAAGAAAAAAGTGAATGCCGTACTCCAAAGTCATAGGTACAGTTCCCCCTAAAAGAAAGGGAGGACGAACTCGAAAGCAAAAACAAAAGAACTTGAGGAGATACAAGCACTAGACTCTGCAGATTCATGAGATAATTTTGATACTCTTAAATTTTAACGCTCTTTTTAAAGTTATGATCCAAAAATATTGTTTAATCAGAATTGCTAAATGAAGACTTATACATCAATTTGTCTCATTTTTGAGTGAGTACAGCATATTATTCATATTATATCTAATCTTTTTTCTTTTTGGCTTGTAGATGCTGCAGTTTTCGACATGGAGTATGCGAGATGGCTAGGAGAACACCACCGTATCATGTGCGAGCTCCGGGCGGCACTACAAGAGCATTTGCCGGAGAATGATTTGAGGCTTTTTGTGGAAAACTGCTTAGCTCATTATGGTGAGATGATTAGCCTCAAAAGCATGGTCGCCAAATCCGACGTGTTTCATCTTTTTTCCGGCATGTGGAGAACTCCAGCGGAACGATGCTTCTTATGGATGGGAGACTTCCGGCCATCCGACCTCATCAAGGTAATATGCATAAAGATGATTTTACTTCATTCGTAGGTACCCCCAAAATACTCACTTTAATTTTAGGGAAAGTTTTGATTTTTTTTTTATTTTTGGGTTATCAGCTATAAATTTTTTATAATTTTACTTAGAAACCGTGTAACTTAGCCCCAAAAATTATATAATTTAATATTAATTTTAAAATGTTAGTATCCATTCTAATTTTTTTTATTAATTTAGACCAAAAAAAGCTATACTATGAATATTCTAGCAAAAAAAGTTATACTATGTGATGAAAAATTTATTTTTCATAAATATTCTAATAACGATATGAATGACTTGCCTTCGACTGAATTGAGAGAGCAATTATTCAAAGTGCACGTACACTGACGCAAACACTTTTGGCCATTAAAAAAAAATAAATAAATCCAGATATATATAGGTATACAAGTTGTTAATTGCGTAGAGCAGTAAGAAAGTCTCGTTATGATAATGTATATAAATGAATTTTGTATGTGTATGTCAGATTGTTGTCAGCCAAATTGAGCCATTGACGGAGCAACAACTGATGGGTATCTGTGGACTACAACAATCGACCCAGGAAGCCGAAGAAGCTCTGTCTCAAGGACTTGATGCTCTTAACCAATCGCTTTCACTCACCATTGCTTCTGATGCAATGAGCTGTCCTCCAAACATGGCCAACTACATGGGTCAAATGGCCATAGCCATGAACAAGCTCTCCACCGTCGAAGGTTTTCTTAGACAGGTACGTAAATATTCTTTTATGTTCATTATTAAAATAGAAATAACGTTTGCATACAAATATGCAAATACATTCATACCTAAGTAGAGGAGTGGACATTGCAGCATTCACAAACCTACGTAAACATACATGCATCTATATACCTGCATAGATATGGAAATATTTGCATGTATAGCTCCACACATGTCAGTATATATGTAGGGTAAGGATATAAGAAAATATTATTTGAATATAATTTATTGATTGAATGTATTACAATCATTGAATTGATAGCGGGTTCCAACTTCCAACTAATACTGTAATTTCATTGTTACCAGATTTGAGAAAAATCATACATATACAAATTTTCTTTTACTAAATAGGAAAAACCTTTACAAATGACTTTTTTTTCTTTTAATTTCCAAAAACAAACATATGCACTCTTATTTTGTGTGTAAATAGATTAATTATGTAATTCAAACCCGTAATACAAAGTAACAATAAAATAATTTAAATATCAAATCCTCCTAATTTTCCATTGTAGTTCATCTTAAGGGAACATAGTTCTCTATCATTCTAGTTTATGCTAAGAATTACATTAGGAAATTCATTTGCATGAATTTCTTTTTTGGGCAAGTACCTTTGCATGAATTTCCTCTACATAGGTCTCACCCATTTTTTTTATTTTTTTGCCAATTTACACATACTTCTAATTCTTGACGGAGGTGGACCCAAAAATATCCTAATCATAGAGATCTTACGCCCATGTATGCATGATGTCATTGTCACACATGTTTGACTTTAAGCTGCCTTGTGAGTCGAGACTATCAACATAATTTCACATCACCTTCCAAATAAAGGCCATTTGTAAATACCTTGACCTATTGAAGTCATGTGTTGACTCAGTTAACACAATGACTTATTGCCGAGACCCACCTTAACATTTTACCAACTCTATGACTTTATTTAGTAAAATTTTGTCAGAAATGCATGAACAAAATGCGATTTAGTTTTTTTTTTTAACCTAAAAGATTTAGGGCCATAATAGTAATTATCATTGATAGACCTCGGCCAACTACGACAGCAAGCTTTTCTGATTATTAAATACGCCTATAAAGAAATTACGTTTTTTTAATTTTAATACTTATCGGTCATTATACTTTATAACGACAGCTTCTTTAAACTTTGCGTATACATAGCCATCTTGAAGTTAAGTATTGTTGAGAGACAATTATATTTTCCTTGTGGGGTTAGGTGGAGAAAATGATATGGTCATCTTAAAAAAGTCATACGTTGATTTTCTAAGAAAGTAGAAAGAAGACTATTCTAAATACTACCGCATACAAGATAATATATACTTAGAGAACTTGGGGTGTGGGGATTGGCATGTAGCTCTATATATCATAATTAATCATGTAGAAGATTTACAATAAAATTATGAATGAAATAAAAAACAATAATTGTAGGGGCAAAACCATGAAAACTTAAGATAGAAATACGAGAGCTTTAAAAGGAAAAAGGCTTTGTGAAAATCCATTTATCATATGGAAGGAGAAGACTAGCAAAACATTCGATCTGTAAACGTGCAATATAAATATGAAAAAAGGTATTGAGATAAAATATGAATGAATGAATGATTGAAACATTTGACCGGGCTCTGGAGATGAATACCGAAAGAGCTTACTAGATGTAGGAAATATTCAAGCAATTTTCTCCTTATTCATTCCTATTGCTAGTTTTATTTACTTATTCAAATTAACCATGTTTGATTTTGCACTTTATTTTCTCATTATCCTTACGACTAAGAACTTTTTTTTTTTTACCAAGTATTAAATTTAAGTTGAAACATATCTAATCCTAATTGATTAACTTCCACTTATATGCATCATTACTGTAAACAATCTTTGGTTACGATGTCTTAATCCTCATTATTGTCATTACTACTTTGTTTTATGTTACTGTAGAAGAAGAGAAATTTCACCATTCCTAAGTTTTGACTATTTGTTTCCAAATGATACTCTGTTTGAATTTCTAGAATCAGGGTACCACACTACAAGCATCTAGGTGAAGAAAGAAAACACACACATGTTTCTTGGACTTTTCTGTCGTCTTTTGTATCATAAAAAATATTACGATTCAAACTTGTCATGGCTTATTCTAATTGATCTTCTATATAACCAGAAGTAGGGGTTGATCTCAACTTTTAGGATTTATCCCAAGTATCTATACCGAGTTTGTGAATTTCATTGAATCACAAGATCGACAATATTAAAATGTAATTAAAAATCTCAATAAGTTGTAACTTGACCCGAAATTTCGCTGGTTCATTTTTTCCCATGTTTCTTTTCCAACCAAGTTGCTTTTATTCTCTAGCACATGGGACAATCCAACCACTCACTACCAAAGTCAAAAGAATATCATTATTATAACGTTATTTTAATAACTGTAACAACTGAATAATTAGAAAATAGGGTAAAATACACTTTTGGTCCTCAAAAAATGCATTGAATATCTACTTAGTTATCAATCTTTTAATTGGATCTATTTGGTTTCTAAGGTTTCAAATTTGTATCTATGTAGTAGTCCAATCCTAAACGTCCGTTAAAAAATTGATAACGGCTTTGGTCCCTCGTCAATCACGTGGGACTAAATAGACACAAACTAAGTATTTTAGGAATCAAATAAACACAAAATTAGGAACCAAGTTGACGCGTGACCAAATCCGTCAACATTTTTTTGACGGTGCTTCGATTCATCTCTCCCCATCCTTAACCAATTTCTCCATTTTTGATTGGGGGTTAGAAAAATGTGTACAAGGAAGTGTTTTGTTGCATTGTTTCATAATAAGTTCCCATGTCTCTGGTCACGTGCTAATCACGTGGGACCAAATAGACACAAATTAGGTACTTTAGGAACTAAATAGACATAAAATGAGGAACCACGTGATTGATGCGTGACCATTTTGTGACGGCGTTTGGGATTAGACAACTTAGCTATAAGTTAGAAACTTTAGAGATCAAATAGACACAATTGAAATATTGGAGATCAAATAGACACTAAATACATACTTTGACGACCAAAAGTGTATTTTCCCCTAAAAAATAAACATGTCCCTCTTTTTCATCTCTTTAGGGTCAACATACATGTATGCTTTGTAACCTATTGGTTTCTTATTATTATTATTTTTGTCCAAATGGGAAAAAAACTTACAGGCAGATAATTTGAGGCACCAAACACTTCACCGGCTGTATCAACTCTTAACGACTCGTCAAGCAGCAAGGTGTTTTCTGGCCATTGCCGAGTACTTCCACCGCCTCCGAGCTCTTAGCTCTCTCTGGTTGGCACGTCCCCAGCAGGAATGAGATCAAAAATCCTAATCCCCATGGAAACTTTTGATCTATTTCTTGCATTACTTATGGCTTTTCTTGTATCTTTTTCACAATGATGTATAGATAGAGTAAACAATAACTAGGTCATAATTATAAAAGTAGAAGTTAAACCCCTCCCTCTCTATCTCTCTCTCTCTGGAGTAAGAAAATAAGGGGGATATTGATTTAGCAGCCGTTTGTGACAAAAAACTGAGGTGGAGGGCAAAGAAGAAAGGAAATGTCAAAGAGGAGGAGGACATTGAGTTTGTTGTTGTAAATTTAAAAGTTCTGAGTTCGATTTTTGGTACCTTTGTAACGTCCCAAAATTTCTTTTTGATGACATTACTATCTAAAATCATTCACATGATGAGAACAACTAATAAAGTTCATAATTAAAGGAAATTTCATTTCATCATCCAAATATTTACAGCTTCATCCAAAAGAATATGTCAAGCCATGATCATTGCATTTAAAAGAATATGTCAAACTACGACAATTACATCTCAAAAATTAACTATTATCTTATAGCGGAATAAGAAAAATATTAACATAAACATTATTTAAAAATAAATCTCTTAGTCTAGGACACAAAAAGAATAGTTCTAGACATCCCCCTCTAGATCTACATGCCCATTAAGTTGAGCTTTCCAAGCTACCTGCTCATCAACTCTGAGCTCTTCATCTAAACCAAAATCTAAAAAAATGTTGTTTGTAGGGGGTGAGTACTAAACTCTGTAAGAAAATTCTCACAAACTTGAACAAGGTTTCAAAAACATATAAAACGGTCAGTCTCATTTTACATATATCATATATAGCTTTTGAAGAAAAACATGGATACTTCAATGGATCTCAAGTTTATACAATAGCAATAATTAAATGAAAAAGTAAAACCAATTTTAAAAAATAACAATTTTTAACAAGTTACCATTCCCATAATAACCAATTTCACAATAAACCAATTCCACCATAAACTCCTTTCCACAATAAACCATAACTAATCGTTTGCACAATAAACAATAGCCTACAATATATCTCAGGTATGATGTATGACATCGTATGAATAAATACATCGAGAATATCCTGACTCACACAGACACATACACTCAATCTTTGCAAGGATATCAAACTTTAGGAATGACGTATACCAACGTTTTGGTATTGACGAATTCCACCTAGGAATAATATACTAACCCTCAATCTCGATACCCGTGAGCGAATAGTAGTTTGGTCTTCGCAAGGTACCAACCCCACTATGAGTGGTAGAAAAAATTCAAACTCTCACGGAGTAAGAAACACATCTACCCACTCTACGATACCCGGTCAACGGTCACCTATGGTCATCCAAACATCCACAAGAGATACAATACCAAACAAATTTCTCCAATTCCAACTAAAATCTAAAATCTCTAAATTTTATATGTATTATTCTAGTAGAACAATTTAAGAAAATATGCAAGAGATCATTAAAAATACTATTTTATTGTTCAATACCAAGCACTAGAGTTTTGAAATTAAGAACAAATGAAAAATCAAGAGAAAAATTCATTTCCCTTGAAAACTAAGGTTTTCAGACAAGAAAAAGAAATTTCATGGCTATCTAATAATAACTTTGTTTAAAACAAGGTAATATTTGCAAGAATATCAAGACTCAATGATTTCCTAACATATAATTAGGATTTAGAGTCAAAACATACATATATATAAGCCTTAACCTCATTGGAAGCGAAGAGGAAGAAACCCCTACCTTCTTCCTTAATTTTGTGTGAAGAACTTGAAATTTTGATCTACTTCAATGTGAAAATCCTCCTTGATTCTGTGTTTTTCTCTTTCTTTCTTTTTCTCTAGGACTCTTTAAGGTTATAAATGTTGAAATAGGGCTATTGGAAGTGTCCTTATGTATTTATTGGAGGCAAAATAGTCCCCTGTGCGCGAATCTGAAACTCAGAATTCGTAACTAACGTTCGAACGCCATTTTGGTGTTCAAACGTTAGTTGCTCCCAGTAGTTTTGTTTTTCCATCAGGAAAAAGTACTGGGACGAATTGTCGTTCGATTTGACATTCACATTTGAACGGACTTCCTGTTTCTGCTAAAACTTCCAGTGAAGTTTTGGTCGATTTAAAAGTTGATGTGAAAAATTTTCATGAAATACACTTTTGTAACTCTGAAAATCTATTGTCTACTATAAAAATTTAAGCTCAAACGGACATTAGGATAAAAATTTATGGTCTAAATACTAAGCAGTGTCTAATATCCTTTCTATCCAAATTTTATCTAAAATGTGTTTGAACTATAGAATACTTCCTATCTTCCAATTTATACCCTATTACCTCATCTAACATTTTTATTTCTACTATTACAATCCATATAATTCATGCATATATCATAACATATATTAACATTTCAAAAATAATTATGTTGCTATATACAGATAAGAATGTGGGGGTTTACAAACCCTTTGGGACATGCCAGTAGAGATTTATCTCTCATTAATAGTTTAGTCTTAGCGTGAATGGTTTACCTTTGATCGGACCGAATAAGGAATTAGTTGAAGTACTTTTAAATTGATCCAAACACTCTAACCATTAAAAAAAAAACTTGATGTAACTGACAAAAGTTGCAAGCTTTGATATTGGACGGTGGCCATTTTCTTCCTTGGCTAGAAGAGACTCAGATGTCAATTACCATAAGGGAAAAGGTTAAAAGCCTAAATCTATCTGCATAGTCTTAGTTTTTGAACCCTATGGTCACTCAGTTATTTAATTTTGTATTTGAAAATCTGATATAATTATTTTATCTAGAAATGTGTCCTGTGACATGGTTCCAATAAAAACACTCAACAATTTGCAATAATACTATGGGATCAATGTGAGTTGTATATGATTAATTCAAAAAATTAAATCAAAATTTTAAGTCAGAATAATTCTACTTTTTTTTTTTTTTTTTAAAATATCCCGGGATAATCATGGCGACAATTTCTTTAATATGATTAGGTACAACATGTAAATAGATATGTACAAATGGGCAAACAATATTCAAATTCAAAGACCATGAACATGTCAAGGTAAGTATATGGAAACAACAACCATATTAGGACTTAATTTATTAACGTAAAAAATTACTAAAATTTTTGATAATGTGGTTGGTAGGTGGTAGTTGGTATACCACGATACTAAATTCAAAGGAGACTAGTTTCTTACTCTCTCTCTCTCTCCGACTTGGAATTCACCCAATTATTTTAGTGAAAATTGGGGTTGAATCCTCTTTAAGAGATTTATAATAAGTTTAGTTTGTCAACAAAACTTATTTGAGGAGAAGTCCGTTTTTAATCTTACTAGTAAATAGTTAAGTCCATTATTATTTTAAAACTCTAAAATACCCTTACTTGAAAACAACTTTAAATTAGTTTTCTAACTTTAGAATTATTATTCCTTAATTCACTATCAATGAAGATATTCCAATAAATTTTTTTACATAAATTTAAAATTGAAATTCAAAGAACAATTGACACACATATTCTCTCAATCTCTAATAAATTTGTTACTATTTTTTGTTGGGCATGTTTGAGCATCTTATTACTATAATTTTTTCAAATATTAATACTCAGTGTTATTATTATTTTTTTGTGTTTAAATGTTTCTATTTTTTTTGTGTTTAAATGGTACTACTTTTTGTGTTTAAATGTTACTATTTTTGTTAATGTTACTATATGTGTGTGTTTATATCTATAATATAAAACATGACGACTTCAATAAGTTCATCCTATGATCTCAAATTCATTCATCTAACGGTCAAGAAATTACCTTTTTTTTCCCTTAATATTTTCCCCCAATCGGTCAATGATTATTGTTGATCTTGAAACACATCATACGATTCAAATTCATTGATCTAACGGTCAAGAAATTACCATTTTTTTCCCTAATATTTTTTTCCCAACCGGTCAATGATTACGACTAATCTTGAAAAACATAATTTTTTGTGACATAATAATTAAGTAGGTCAAATTTGCCATTAATATTATCTGTGTAGTGTAACATTTTGAATTTTTATAAGACACAATAATAACATTTTGATTAAAAATTCATCAATTTAATAGATAAAAAAAATGAGGGCGCTGCTTAACACATTTATATTGAATATAATTAATTTTAATTTTATTTATTTAATTAATTGTCTCAAACTAACATATCTTGAATTAAAAGTTCAAGATTAATTTTTTTTATCTCTTAAGAAAACTCAACACTAATATATTCTTATAAATTAATAATTTTGTAATAATTTGTACTAATTAAAAAAAATAGTATTTTATAAATGATAATTATAAATTTTTTTTGATAGAAAATATTTTGGCGATATGTTTTTTGATAAATTAGATTTTTAGTTTGTATTAGATTTGAATCGATTTTGAGTACATGTATATAAATTAATGTTCGATTTTGATTATATGTATATAAATTAATTTTTTTAAGTCAACTCTATCATATTTCATAGATTCTATAATATAAAACAGGGTTTCTGTAACAAACCCATCCTACGGTCTCAAATTCACTTATCTAACGGTCAAAAAATTACCTTTTTTCCCTTAATATTTCCCCTCAACCGGTCAACGATTATTTTTGATTTTGGAACACATCATACGATCTCAAATTCATTCATCCAACGGTCAAGAAATTACAATTTTTTTCCTTAATATTTTTACCCCAACCGGTTTACGATTACGACTGATCTTGAAATATATAATTTTTTGTGACATAATAATTAAATAGGTCAAATTTGCCATTAATATAATTTGTATAGTGTAACATTTTGAATTTTTATAAGACACAATAATAACATTTTGATTAAAAAAATTCATCAATTTAACAGATAAAAGAAAAAAAATAAGGGCGATACTTAACACATTTATATTGAATATAATTATTTTTAATTTTATTTATTTAATTAATTGTCTCAAACTAACATATCTTACACATATCTTGAATTAAATGTTCAAGAC